CTGCATGAGGATTGTGTTCAACACGACGTCGATGGGGAACTTCCTGCTGAACTACAGTAAACACACACACAAACACACACACACACACACACACACACACACACACACACACACACACACACACAGTACTGTATATAGTGTAGTATGATATAGTATCTTCAGTATATGTAAGCATGTATTATTATATCATATATATTATAACATTTATAGTATAAACTAGTTTGCTGTATGAAATGTTGTATATTATAATATAGTACAGTAGTCATTTATATTTAAGTATTGAAAAGGAATCTAACTTCGATACAACACAATTGTTAATATCTAGGCCGTCTCCGATACCGAGCTATGGTGCTGATAAGGCTCCGCTGAACAACCGTCCAATCTTTTTAGGACTAAACCCCCAGAATCTACACGCAAGATCACCGTAATCTGCTCAGGGGGGCGTTCACAGCGTGGCTCTAACACCAGCTGCCCGTCGTACTTCAGGCACTCTGGCCTCGGATGCCCGACCGCTACGATAGCAGAACAGAGTGTGTAGCAGGTGTTGGTGGGCTGGTAGAACCCCAGAGCAGTATCTAAACTGCCCCTGGAGGAGAACCCTCTGTTGATGGGAGACTCCCTGGTAATTAGGGCAGCTTCAGAACCCACAGTCCCTAACCCTCTTTTGATCCCCTTATACACAATGCAAATATAATATCAAACACAGCCAGAGTCAAACATCAATGTCACAGCAGTGATATCACCACATCAGCAGAGCATGTGTTTCAACATCAGTCAAAACCACCTCAACCACAGTGACCAATGTGAAACTATGGTTTAACCTGAGCAGAGTTTCTATTCCCCTTCAACTATTCAAATCCAAATGATCAACTAATGTCAGCCTTTTCCAAGGAAGGGTGTTCTGACCTCACTCTGAGACCAAGCAGACACCTTCAGAGACCACCAGAGAGACCAGGAGTTGGGTCGAAGTGTACAAACCAGATTTATTAAGGTGTTAACAAAAATAGAGGATTAAAAAGAATCCTTAAAAATAATAAAGACACCAAGTGAAAATACAAAAGCAACAGGTTCACAAGTCAAGTCCTCCAGTCGTCTAAAAGAGCCCAGACCCAGACCCAGACCCAGGCCCAGGCCCAGGCCCAGGCCCAGGCCCAGGCCCAGGCCCAGGCCCAGGCCCAGGCCCAGGCCCAGGCCCAGGCCCAGGCCCCTTTGTAGTCTTCTTCCTCCTCCCCCTCTTCATCAGGTCACAACTCTTCAGCTTCTAATTATTGAACATTCAAAAATGTAAGGTTTAAAAATTAAACGAATACAAACTAATAGTACTGATATGTAATTCTAAAGAGGGAATATGAACATGTTTCATGAAAGCGGAACATCGTCATGTTTTAGAATCAAGTTATTTTCTTTAAACATTTCAATTTCAAATATGCAAACTTTATACTTTAATTCATGAACAGAGACAATAAGACCAGCTGGTCTCTCAAGGTGTCAAAAACCACAAGCGCCTCTGCATGGTAGCTGGAACTTTTACACTTGTATTGCCCCATCTAGAATGTGTGTGTGTGTGTGTGTGTGTGTGTGTGTGTGTGTGTGTGTGTGTGTGTGTGTGTGTGTGTGTGTGTGTGTGTGTGTGTGTGTGTGTGTGTGTGTGTGTGGTGTGTGTGTGTGTGTGTGTGTGTGTGTGTGTGTGTGTGTGTGTGTGTGTGTGTTTCAGGGAAGGAGGGTCACCATCAGGATGTGGGTCACATGAAAGCAGATCACGATACTCACAGGAAAATGGCCGAGTGTTTGGGATTCGAACACGACCAGCCGTACATCTACGATGGAGTCGCAGGTAAATATTTATATCAGTATGTAGTGTCTCTACTTTAAAGAGTCCTCTCCTGCTGATGTTCAGGTGTATATCAGTATGTAGTGTCTCTACTTTAAAGAGTCCTCTCCTGCTGATGTTCAGGTGTATATCAGTATGTAGTGTCTCTACTTTAAAGAGTCCTCTCCTGCTGATGTTCAGGTGTATATCAGTATGTAGTGTCTCTACTTTAAAGAGTCCTCTCCTGCTGATGTTCAGGTGTATATTAGTAATGTAGTGTCTCTACTTTAAAGAGTCCCTCTCCTGCTGATGTTCAGGTGTATATCAGTATGTAGTGTCTCTACTTTAAAGAGTCCTCTCCTGCTGATGTTCAGGTGTATATCAGTATGTAGTGTCTCTACTTTAAAGAGTCCTCTCCTGCTGATGTTCAGGTGTATATCAGTATGTAGTGTCTCTACTTTAAAGAGTCCTCTCCTGCTGATGTTCAGGTGTATATTAGTATGTAGTGTCTCTACTTTAAAGAGTCCTCTCCTGCTGATGTTCAGGTGTATATCAGTATGTAGTGTCTCTACTTTAAAGAGTCCTCTCCTGCTGATGTTCAGGTGTATATCAGTATGTAGTGTCTCTACTTTAAAGAGTCCTCTTCCTGCTGATGTTCAGGTGTATATCAGTATGTAGTGTCCTCTACTTTAAATAGTCCTCTCCTGCTGATGTTCAGGTGTATATCAGTATGTAGTGTCTCTACTTTAAAAGAGTCCTCTCCTGCTGATGTTCAGGTGTATATCAGTATGTAGTGTCTCTACTTTAAAGAGTCCTCTCCTGCTGATGTTCAGGTGTATATCAGTATGTAGTGTCTCTACTTTAAAGAGTCCTCTGCTGCTGATGTTCAGGTGTATATCAGTATGTAGTGTCTCTACTTTAAAGAGTCCTCTCCTGCTGATGTTCAGGTGTATATCAGTATGTAGTGTCTCTACTTTAAAGAGTCCTCTCCTGCTGATGTTTAGGTGTATATCAGTATGTAGTGTCTCTACTTTAAAGAGTCCTCTCCTGCTGATGTTCAGGTGTATATCAGTATGTGGTGTCTCTACTTTAAAGAGTCCTCTCCTGCTGATGTTCAGGTGTATATCAGTATGTAGTGTCTCTCCTTTAAAGAGTCCTCTCCTGCTGATGTTCAGGTGTATATCAGTATGTAGTGTCTCTACTTTAAGAGTCCTCTCCTGCTGATGTTCATGTGTATATCAGTATGTAGTGTCTCTACTTTAAAGAGTCCTCTCCTGCTGAGGTTCAGGTGTATATCAGTATGTAGTGTCTCTACTTTAAAGAGTCCTCTGCTGCTGATGTTCAGGTGTATATCAGTATGTAGTGTCTCTACTTTAAAGAGTCCTCTCCTGTTGATGTTCAGGTGTATATCAGTATGTAGTGTCTCTACTTTAAAGAGTCCTCTCCTGCTGATGTTCAGGTGTATATTAGTATGTAGTGTCTCTACTTTAAAGAGTCCTCTCCTGCTGATGTTCAGGTGTATATCAGTATGTAGTGTCTCTACTTTAAAGAGTCCTCTCCTGCTGATGTTCAGGTGTATATCAGTATGTAGTGTCTCTACTTTAAAGAGTCCTCTCCTGCTGATGTTCAGGTGTATATCAGTATGTAGTGTCTCTACTTTAAAGAGTCCTCTCCTGCTGATGTTCAGTTGTATATCAGTATGTAGTGTCTCTACTTTAAAGAGTCCTCTCCTGCTGATGTTCAGGTGTATATCAGTATGTAGTGTCTCTCCTTTAAAGAGTCCTCTCCTGCTGATGTTCAGGTGTATATCAGTATGTAGTGTCTCTACTTTAAAGAGTCCTCTCCTGCTGATGTTCAGGTGTATATCAGTATGTAGTGTCTCTACTTTAAAGAGTCCTCTGCTGCTGATGTTCAGGTGTATATCAGTATGTAGTGTCTCTACTTTAAAGAGTCCTCTCCTGCTGATGTTCAGGTGTATATCAGTATGTAGTGTCTCTACTTTAAAGAGTCCTCTCCTGCTGATGTTTAAGGTGTATATCAGTATGTAGTGTCTCTACTTTAAAGAGTCCTCTCCTGCTGATGTTCAGGTGTATATCAGTATGTGGTGTCTCTACTTTAAAGAGTCCTCTCCTGCTGATGTTCAGGTGTATATCAGTATGTAGTGTCTCTCCTTTAAAGAGTCCTCTCCTGCTGATGTTCAGGTGTATATCAGTATGTAGTGTCTCTACTTTAAAGAGTCCTCTCCTGCTGATGTTCAGGTGTATATCAGTATGTAGTGTCTCTACTTGAAAGAGTCCTCTCCTGCTGATGTTCAGGTGTATATCAGTATGTAGTGTCTCTACTTTAAAGAGTCCTCTCCTGCTGATGTTCAGGTGTATATCAGTATGTAGTGTCTCTACTTTAAAGAGTTCTCTGCTGCTGATGTTCAGGTGTATATCAGTATGTAGTGTATCTACTTTAAAGAGTCCTCTCCTGCTGATGTTCAGGTGTATATCAGTATGTAGTGTCTCTACTTTAAAGAGTCCTCTCCTGCTGATGTTCAGGTGTATATCAGTATGTAGTGTCTCTACTTTAAAGAGTCCTCTCCTGCTGATGTTCAGGTGTATATCAGTATGTAGTGTCTCTACTTTAAAGAGTCCTCTCCTGCTGATGTTCAGGTGTATATCCGTATGTAGTGTCTCTACTTTAAGAGTGCTCTCCTGCTGATGTTCAGGTGTATATCAGTATGTAGTGTCTCTACTTTAAAGAGTCCTCTCCTGCTGATGTTCAGGTGTATATCAGTATGTAGTGTCTCTACTTTAAAGAGTCCTCTCCTGCTGATGTTCAGGTGTATATCAGTATGTAGTGTCTCTACTTTAAAGAGTCCTCTCCTGCTGATGTTCAGGTGTATATCAGTATGTAGCGTCTCTACTTTAAAGAGTCCTCTCCTGCTGATGTTTAGGTGTATATCAGTATGTAGTGTCTCTACTTTAAAGAGTCCTCTCCTGCTGATGTTCAGGTGTATATCAGTATGTAGCGTCTCTACTTTAAAGAGTCCTCTCCTGCTGATGTTTAGGTGTATATCAGTATGTAGTGTCTCTACTTTAAAGAGTCCTCTCCTGCTGATGTTCAGGTGTATATCAGTATGTAGCGTCTCTACTTAAAGAGTCCTCTCCTGCTGATGTTTAGGTGTATATCAGTATGTAGTGTCTCTACTTTAAAGAGTCCTCTCCTGCTGATGTTCAGGTGTATATCAGTATGTAGTGTCTCTACTTTAAAGAGTCCTCTCCTGCTGATGTTTAGGTGTATATCAGTATTTAGTGTCTCTACTTTAAAGAGTCCTCTCCTGCTGATGTTTAGGTGTATATCAGTATGTAGTGTCTCTACTTTAAAGAGTCCTCTCCTGCTGATGTTTAGGTGTATATCAGTATGTAGTGTCTCTACTTTAAAGAGTCCTCTGCTGACTCATTGATTTTGTTTCCTCACAGATTTCTGTCAATCATCTCTAGAATCTGCGATCTGATGTCGAAAGAAGATCGAACCATCCGAGTGTCAACAAACATGTTTTGTTCATGCAAACAATAAAAGCAAATACTGAAACCCCCACCTGTGTGTGTGTGTGTGTGTGTGTGTGTGTGTGTGTGTGTGTGTGTGTGTGTGTGTGTGTGTGTGTGTGTGTGTGTGTGTGTGTGTGTGTGTGTGTGTTTGTGGCCTAGCATTACTATCCTTGTGGGACCTACATCTGTTTACACAGTCACGTGTGGGGACATAATGGAGGTCCCCATGAGCTCTCGAGGGTGTTTAAAAAAACCATAAAACAACTCACAACATTGCATTTAGCTGTCGCTTATTGTAAGTCGCTTTTATCCAAAGCGACTTACAATAAGTGCGACTTGAAGAAAACAGAATCATAAAGTACATCAGGTTTCATAGAGCCAAACATTTCAAGTGCTACTCAACTGGCTTTAGGTAAGCCAGTCCTTTATTAGTATAAAAGTGCTTTGTTAGTAAGTTCTATCGCTCGAAGTGGAGTCGAAAGAGATGAGTTTTCAGTCTGGAAGGTGTGTAAGCTATCTGCTGTCCTGATGTCAATGGGGAGCTCATTCCACCATCTTGGAGCCAGGACAGCAAACCCACGTGTTTCTGCCGATGGGAACTTGGGTCCCCCTCGCAGCGAGGGTGCAACGAGTCGTTTGGCTGATGCAGAGCGGAGTGCACGCGCTGGGGTGTACGGTTTAACCATGTCCTGGATGTAGGAAGGGCCAGATCCATTCGCAGCATGGTAAGCAAGTACCAGTGTCTTGAAGTGGATTCTAGCAGTTACCGGAAGCCAGTGAAGGGAGCGGAGGAGCGGAGTGGTGTGGGAACATTTAGGAAGGTTGAAGACCAGACGAGCCGCTGCATTCTGGATGAGCTGCAGAGGTCGGATGGCACATGCAGGTAGACCAGCCAGGAGGGAGTTGCAGTAGTCTAGGCGTGAGATGACGAGAGCCTGGACCAGAACCTGCGTGGCTTTCTGGGTCAGCTGGGGACGTATCTTCCTGATGTTGTAAAGCGTGTATCTGCAGCAACGGGTTGTAGCAGCGATGTTTGCAGTGAAGGACAGGTTGTTATCTAGGGTCACACCCAGATTCCTTGCAGTCTGAGTCGGGGGAAACAACTGAGGTGCCGATGTTGATTGTTAGGTCAAGAGTGGGACAATCTTTTCCCGGAAGGAAGAGCAGCTCAGTCTTGTCAAGGTTGAGCTTGAGGTGATGAGCAGACATCCACTGAGAGATGTCAGCTAGACAAGCAGAGATGCGTGCAACGACCTGGGTCTCTGAGCGGGGGAAGGACAGAATTAATTGGGTGTCGTCAGCGTAGCAGTGGTAATGAAAAACCATGCGGGCTAATGACTGATCCGATCGAGTTTGTGTACAGGGAGAAGAGGAGGGGACCAAGAACAGAGCCCTGAGGGACCCCCTGTAGTTAATTGACAAGGGTCGGACTCAGACCCTCTCCAAGTCACCCTGTAGGTACGGTCTTTCAGGTATGAGGTGAGGAGGGAAAGTGCAGAGCCTGAAACTCCAAGTTCTTGGAGAGTGTGAAGGAGGATCTGATGATTCACCGTGTCGAATGCAGCAGACAGGTCCAACAGGATGATGACAGAGGAGAGGGATGCATGCTTTAGGCAGTGTGCAGTTCCTCAGAGACAGCAATGAGAGCAGTTTCTGTGGAGTGACCTGCCTTGAAACCAGACTGGTGCGGATCCAGAAGGTTGTTCTGATTGAGATAACAGGAGAGTTGTTTAAAGACAGCGCGTTCAAGTGATTTAGACAGGAACGGGAGGAGAGAGACAGGCCTGTAGTTTATAACATCAGACGGGTTGAGAGTGGGTTTCTTTAGGAGAGGGTTTACTCTTGCCTCCTTGAGACTGTTTGGAAAGTGACCAGAAGTTAGAGAAGTGTTGATGAAATGGGTGAGAAACGGTAGAATATCAGGAGCGATAGTCTGAAGGAGGTTTGAAGGGATAGGGTCCAGAGGACAGGTGGTAGGGCGGGCAGAGGTAATGAGGGTAAGAACCTCACTTGGAGAGAGAGGGGAAAAGGAGGTAAGTGTGTTGGTGGAAGGAGGGTCTGGTGACCCAGCGGTGAGTAAAGGTGAGTCAGAAAAAGAAGAGCGAATATCATCAACCTTTTTTTCAAAGTGGGTAACAAAGTCGCTTGACAGAAGTGAGGAGGGGGGAGGGGCTTTTGGAGGGGTCCAGGAGGGAGGAGGGGGAGGAGGCTTTGGGGGGGTCCAAGAGGGTGGAGGGGGGAGGGGCTTTGGGAGGGTCCAGGAGGGAGGAGAAGATGGAAAATAGTTTTTTGGGATTGGAATAGGAGGATTGGATCTTATCTTGAAAGAAAGTGCTTTTTGCCTGAGAGATCGAAGCAGAGAAAGAGGAGAGGAGAGCCTGATAGGTTAGGAGGTCGTCACGGTGTTTGGATTTCCACCGTTTCCGCTCTGCTGCCCTAAGGACGGTTCTATTAGCACGCAGTGCATCATTTAGCCAGGGAGCAGGAGGGGACTGACGAGCCTGCCGAGATGTCAGAGGACAGAGTGAGTCCAGAGTGGATGAGAGAGTAGAGAGGAGAGTTTCTGCAGCAGAGTTTGGAGGCAGGAGTTGGAACGAGTCAGAGGAAGGGAGGGCTGAGAGCACCGATGAGGCAAAGGTAGAGGGGGAGAGGGAGCGAAGGTTACGGCGGACAAGTGCAGGATGAGAAGAGATTAGTTTGTTATGTTTGGAAAGGGGTAAAGAGAATGAAATGAAGAAGTGATCGGATGTGTGGAGCGGGTTTACAGAGAGGTTAGAAGTAGCGCAGTTCCTTGAGAATATGAGATCAAGGACATTGCCAGCTTTATGAGTCGGTGGGGACGGAGACAGTGAGAAAGCAAAGGCGGTTAACAGGGATGTTAGTTCGTCTATCTTCCCCGTCTGGAGGTTGAAGTCTCCGAGAAGTACAGCGGGAGGGCCAGTTTCAGGGATGTGTGAGGGGAGATGATCTAATTCCTCCAAGAAGTCCCCCAAGGCGCCTGGTGGACGGTAGAGAACAACAATGGTTAACTGTATAGGATGGGTTACTGTGACGGCATGGAATTCAAAGGTGGAAGGAGTGAAGTTAGGTAGCTTGAAGAGGGAAAAGCTCAATTTGGGAGAGAGCAGGAGACCAGTGCCACCTCCTCTGCCAGTGGGTCTGGGTGTATGGGAGAAGGAATATGCTGTGGAGAGAGCTGCTGGGGTGGATGTGTTGGATGGAGTAATCCAGGTCTCAGTGAGAGCAAGGAAATCCAGAGACTGCAGGGAGGCGTAGCCAGAGATGAAGTCAGCCTTAGGAACAGCTGACTGGCAGTTCCACAGGCCACCAGAAACTAGATGTTGGATCTCAGTGGAGCACGTGGGATAGATGAGAGCAGGCCGGTTATATCGATTAGGAGATACACGGGGCCAGTGATAATTGCGAGAAGACACATGAACAGGAATGGAGAAAATACACATGATTATAGCATGAGGAGCTAAACAACCAAATAAAATAAAACACCAGCGATACTTAGCTCAATCAAAGTAGGATTTGCCTCCTCTTTGCCTCCCTCGGGACTCCTGTAGGACTCTAATGTCTTTGCCAGTCTTACTCCTGTAGGACTCTAATGTCTTAGCCTGTCTGACGCTGAAGCTGACGCTCCAGGAAAGTGCTACCTAAAATGGACACCTGATTGCTGAGTTCTCACAGCTGTGGGGCCACGCCCCTTTAATTAGTTAACTCTGCAGCTGGTGGCCCTCAAAAGGAAATCTAGACTGGCTTCCTCCTGATGTGTTATTGTCTTTTAAGTCAATTACATTAAACCCTAAGTTATAAAGTTATGAGTTTAACCCTTAATACAGTTACACCTACTCAATAAAGCTCTTAGTATTCTACAAATGTTTAAATCAAGGTTAACCCTAGCAGTCAGTTAGTTCACTTTTAAGGTTTCAGTCAAATGACTTTTCCCAAGTTTCTGTCTGACCGATACTGTAGCGGTTTTGAGTTTTAAAAACACAATTCCAGTCAGATCAACTACAGAGCATTGATACAGAGTACACACACTGAAACAGAGAAGTCTAAAAACACAATGTTACTCACACAATTCTAGAAGTCTCCAGTAGCTTTCTTGTCAAAATCGACTTGCACACTTACTTCTTCCTTCTCTCTGTCTATACCTGTGTACTCTCATGTTCCGATTAACCCAGCTTCCCCAAATGTCTTTCTTTTTGGTGTCTATATACGCCGGGATCCGGAGTCATGGATGATCCTGCGTTCCTGTGTCCTGGATCGCGAGCCCTGGATCTTGAGTCGTGGCTGTGGTCCTGGATCATAGGTCCTGGATGGATATCCTCGTGGATTCATCTTCCTATTATACACACATGCATTTCCAAACATTTGGTCTACCTATGTTGCAAATGTATTATCTTTTCAATTTACACACGGCATCTATTGCACGTCTGTCCGTCCTGGGAGAGGGATCCCTCCTCTGTTGCTCTCCCTGAGGTTTCTCCCATGTTCCCTTTCAACTGTGGGTTTTCTCTGGAAGTTTTTCCTTGTACGATGTGAGGGTCTAAGGACAGAGGGTCTAAGGACAGAGGGTCTAAGGGCAGAGGGTCTAAGGACAGAGGGTCTAAGGACAGAGGGTCTAAGGACAGAGGGTCTAAGGACAGAGGGTGTCGTATTGTCATACTGATATTCTGTACAAACTGTGAAGTCCACTGAGACAAATGTAACATTTGTGATATTGGGCTATAGATAAACATTGATTGATTGATTGATTCTGATGGAGATAGCAGGAGAGTTGTTTAAAGACAGCGCGTTCAAGTGTTTTAGACAGGAACGGGAGGAGAGGGACAGGCCTGTAGACTGCCCCGTCATTGTTGACATTGTGAACTTGTCCCTGTCTTCTGGCACAGTCCCACTCTGCCTCAAAACTGCCTCAGTCTCTCCAATCCTGAAGAAGCCTGGCTTGGACCCGGAGGACCTCAACAACCACCGGCCGATCTCAAACCTCCCATTCGTGAGCAAGATCCTGGAAAGAGCAGTTGCCGCACAACTGCAACACTACATGTCACTGCATGAGCTCTACGAACCCCTCCAGTCTGGCTTCAGACCATATCACAGTAATGAGACTGCTCTCATCAAAATCACAAACGACCTCCTCATCGCATCTGATTCTGGCCTCATCAGCATTCTCATCCTCCTGGACCTCTCAGCAACCTTCGATATCATATCCCATTCCATCCTCCTCAGCCGCCTGTCTGACTACCTTGGCCTCAGTGACACAGCTCTTGCCTGGTTCGAGTCCTACCTGTCTAACAGGAAAAACTTTGTCACCATCAGTGACTGCAGCTCCCCTCCCGCCCCAGTCAACCAAGGTGTACCTCAAGGCTCTGTGCTTGGACCCCTCCTATTCAATATCTACATGCTCCCACTTGGTCAAATCTTCCGCCAACATGGTCTCAGCTTTCACTCTTATGCTGATGACACACAGCTCTATCTCTCCACCAAACCGTCCACTCAGCTCCCCCTCAATCCCTTGTCAACTGCCTGCAGGACATAAAAACTGGATGTCATCAAACCTGCTCAAAATCAACAGCAATAAAACAGAGCTCATGATTGTGGCTCCCAAGACGCAGCTCCAGAAGGTTGGAGACCTGCTTCTCTCCATTGACGGCTGCTCCATCTCCCCGTCCACTGAAGTCTGCAACCTGGGAGTCATCCTGGACACCACCCTCTCTTTCCAGGCGCACGTCAAATCTGTCACCAAATCCGCCTTCGACCACCTAAAAAACATTGCCAGAATCCGGCCTTCTCTCTCTGACTCTGTGGCAGAAACCCTGGTACACGCCTTCATTACATCCCGTCTGGACTATTGCAATGGAGTCCTGTCCGGGGTTCCCAGCAAAACCCTGGATAGGCTCCAATACGTCCAGAACTCTGCCGCCAGGATTCTCACCCACACCAAGCCATGGCACCATATCACCCCCACCCTCATCCACCTACATTGGCTGCCGGTCAAGTCCCGGATTCAATACAAAACACTCATCCTCATGTACAAGTCCCTCCATACCCTCGCCCCCCAGTACTTATCGGACCTCCTCCATCCCTACACCCCTTCTCGGAGTCTGCGGTCCTCAGACACGGGCCTGCTCTCCATCCCCCGCTCTCGCCTCCGAACTGTTGGTGACAGGGCATTCAGTGTTACGGCCCCCACCCTCTGGAATGCACTTCCTGCTGAGATCCGTAATGCTGCCTCCCTGGACATCTTCAAATCATCACTAAAAACACACCTGTTCACCCTGGCCTTCGGGCCCTAGCCCCTTTTCTCGTCCCCTGGCTTCCTTTATTTATTTCTTTGGTTTTCCCGTTGATTGTCTGTTTGTTTTGTTTGTCCATCATGTACAGCGACCTTGGGTCCCTTGAAAGGCGCAATATAAATATCATTTATTATTATTAGGGTCTGAGACCTAGGTCGGCGAAGACCCTATTGAAATCGGTCACGCAGCGACCGATTTTTATTATTATTATTATAACATCAGATGGGTTGAGAGTGGGTTTCTTTAGGAGAGGGTTTACTCTTGCCTCCTTGAGACTCTTTGGAAAGTGACCAGGGAGGAGGGGGGAGGGGCTTTGGGGGGGTCCAGGAGGGAGGAGGGGGAAGGGGCTTTGGGGGGGGTCCAGGAGGGAGGAGGGGGAAGGGGCTTTGGGGGGGTGCAGGAGGGAGGAGGGGGGAGGGGCTTTGGGAGGGTCCAGGAGGGAGGAGAAGATGGAAAATAGTTTTTTGGGATTGGAATAGGAGGATTGGATCTTATCTTGAAAGAAAGTGCTTTTTGCCTGAGAGATCGAAGCAGAGAAAGAGGAGAGGAGAGCCTGATAGGTTAGGAGGTCGTCACGGTGTTTGGATTTCCACCATTTCCGCTCTGCTGCCCTAAGGACGGTTCTATTAGCACGCAGTGCATCATTTAGCCAGGGAGCAGGAGGGGACTGACGAGCCTGCCAAGATGTGAGAGGACAGAGAGAGTCCAGAGAGGATGAGAGAGTAGAGAGGAGAGTTTCTGCAGCAGAGTTTGGAGGTAGGAGTTGGAACGAGTCAGAGGAAGGGAGGGCTGAGAGCACCGATGAGGCAAAGGTAGAGGGGGAGAGGGAGCGAAGGTTACGGCGGACAAGTGTAGGATGGGAAGAGATTAGTTTGTTATGTTTGGAAAGGGATAGAGAGAATGAAATGAAGAAGTGATCGGATGTGTGGAGCGGGTTTACAGAGAGGTTAGAAGTAGCGCAGTTCCTTGAGAATATGAGATCAAGGACATTGCCAGCTTTATGAGTCGGTGGGGACGGAGACAGTGAGAAAGCAAAGGCGGTTAACAGAGATGTTAGTTCAGCTATCTTCCCCGTCTGGAGGTTGAGGTTTAATCCAAAAGGTAAAAATAAAACAGGCAATGATCAAAAAATGTACTGACTAGAAGTAACGAAAAACAACCAACTAAGTTGGCGGAAAACTACTAGAGAAGCAACAAAAAAACAACCAACTAGGTTGGTACAAATGCTAAGCAGCTAGAACAATAGCTTACGTCAGAAGAGAAATATGGAGCACTTTCTGCTATACAGACAAGACGAACTGGCACTGACCAAGGAAACAGCACAGACTAAATACACAGGTGAGGAGTGATCATTAGGGACAGCTGAGGCTCATTGAGGCCAGGCAGGTGATTAACAGGGAGCGAAAATACACAGGTGAGGGAGTGAGGCGATCAGCCAGGACCAGGATGTGACAGTACTTGAGTAAAAGTAGAAGTACTCGGATCTGGTGCTTGAGTAAAAGTAGAAGTACTCAGATCTTGTACTTGAGTAAAAGTAGAAGTACTCAGATCTTGTACTTGAGTAAAAGTAGAAGTACTCAGGTCTTGTACTTGAGTAAAAGTAGAAGTACCAGAGTGTTACTCTGTTACAGTAAAAGTCTGCATTCAAAATGACCATCTATGGCAGAGGATCAGAGCCAAATGTGATCTTTATTATTTATTTTTCAGAATTCCAACTTTTCGATACATTTTGAATTTGAACCAGACAAAAAAATGGTCAAACCTCAAAAAGGTTCACATGTGGCCCTTATCCTCTTCCGTAGATATCTGATCTTAAACAAACAGTCATTTATTTTTTTACGCCAAAACCAGTCATAACGGTTATGTGTGTGTGTGTGTGTGTGTGTGTGTGTGTGTGTGTGTGTGTGTGTGTGTGTGTGTGTGTGTGTGTGTGTGTGTGTGTGTGTGTGTGTGTGTGTGTGTGTGTGTGTGTGTGTGTGTGTGTGTGTGTGTGTGTGTGGTGTGTGTGTGTGTGTGTGTGTGTGTGTGTGTGTGTGTGTGTGTGCGGACGTTGGTGTGTTTGTCCGTTAGACTTTAACCGGCAGCTTTCATCAGTGTTTCTCTGTTCCCTCTCGCTGTGTTTTTAATCTTTTACACATTAATGAAGTGGGCCAGTTGGAGTTGGATCACAGTTCAATAACACTCTGAGCACACAGACTTTGGACCGGCTCGGGCTCTCGGGCTCTCGGGGTGTCTGGATCTCGGTATATAAACCGTTCAGCCGTCTCCTGGATCAGTGTCTTCACAGATACCAGAGGGTGCATTTGGCTTTTTGATTTGTGTCTCAGGATGAAAGTCTTAAAGGGAGCGCTGCTGCTGCTGCTGCTAGCTGTTGCTAACGCGAAGCCGGACCCCGATCAATGCCAGGTCCTGAAGATGCTCGCCGAAGACAACCTGCAGCCGGTGAGACCCATCATTTATTTTACGGTGTCTCACAAGTAAAGTACAAAAAATATGTTTGAAGATGAGAGGAAGTAAAATCTTATTTTAGACAAAACTAAAGTGGTCCGAGTACAGATCCCTGTGAGAGGCCTTTTTTTAGACAACTTTTTTCTTTGGTCAATTTTATTTTTAATTGTATTAGTCAACATTTCAACAACTCATTCTAGTCAGTCAGAAGGAGTCATGTGATCACATTGTTAAATAAGACCATAACACATTTTAGCTATGTTGAATATTCCCTGCTGGTCTTCAGGTTTTGGGGGACTGGGTTCTGGTCTGGTCGGTGTGGGACCACCAAGAGGGTCGGGACATCCTGAGGAACCTCAGCAGCTCCCGAGTAGAGATGAGACTTCAGGAGGACAGTCAGACCCTGATGTTCAGCGAGAGGAACCGCTTCAGGTCAGAAATAACACAAATAAATACAAATAAATACAAATGTGGAAATATGAAGAGAAGGAAATTATAGATACATATGTAAATGTTATGATAATAAATCACAGAAAAGTAAAAATATTAGTATAAAATATATAAAATAATAATTTGTTAATAGAAACGTAGAAATATAAAAAGCAATTTTAACAATGAATATGTTAATTGAATTATGACTGAAAAATATAATTGAAATAAAATAACAAAATAAATAATGACTGTACGTATAAACTGGAAATAAAAAAACAAGTAATAATTTATATATTTAACGTAGTTCTCTGGTGTGTAGTGTGTAGTGTGTATGTTGTGTATTTCTAACTGGTGTGTGTTTAGTGACAAGTTCATCAACTACTACATCAACATATCCATGGAGCTCCTGCACAACCCCAACCAAGCAATGCACCCCATCGAAGGCAGTGAGTCACACACACACACACACACACACACACACACACACACACACACACACACACACACACACACACACACACACACACACACACACACACACACAGACACACACACACACACACACAACCACACACACACACATACACACACACAACCACACACACACATACACACAAACACACACACACACACACGCACAAACACACAGACACACACACACACATACACACACACATATACACACACACACATACACACACACATACATACACACATACACATACACACACACACATACACACACACATACATACACACAAACACACACACACATACACACACATACACACACACACACACATACACACACATACACACACACATACACACAAACACACACACATACACACACATACACACACACACACACACACATACACACACAACAAGTACATTTTGTTTATTTTAGAAAGATAAAACAGCATATTCACGGTTGATGTAACTGTCGTGTATTTCTGTGTGTGTGTGTGTGTGTGTGTGTGTGTGTGTGTGTGTATGTGTGTGTGTATGTATGTGTGTGTGTGTGTGTGTGTGTGTGTGTGTGTGTGTGTGTGTGTGTGTGTGTGTGTGTGTGTGTGTGTGTGTGTGTGTGTGTGTGTGTGTGTGTCAGAGATGGAGGTTGATGGAGTCCTCGTTCCCTACAATGAAACCGGGTATGTGAATTTCTACGAGACGTGTCCAAACTGCATGAGGATTGTGTTCAAGATCTCGAGGGGGGTGTTCGTGCTGAACTACAGTAAACACACACACACACACACACTACTGTATATAGTGTAGTATGATATAGTATCTACAGTATAGTATATATAAGCATGTAGTATTATATCGTATATATTATAGCATTTTTAGTGTAAACTAGTTTGCTGAATAAAATGTTGTATATTATAATATAGTACAGTAGTCATTTATATTAAAGTATACTATAGAAATGTTTAAAACAGTAGCGTAAATTATAGTATAATACAGAATAATATTGTGTTGGATAGTAAAGGATAGATTATAGAAAACTATTTTCTGCAGTATAGTATTATATAATATAATAAAGTGGATAGTACAGTATAGTATCTCTGAACATTAAATCAGAAACTAATAAAATAATTCCTCATGGAAACTAAACTGTGTGTGTGTGTGTGTGTGTGTGTGTGTGTGTGTGTGTGTGTGTGTGTGTGTGTGTGTGTGTGTGTGTGTGTGTGTGTGTGTGTGTGTGTGTGTGTGTGTGTGTTTCAGGGAAGGAGGGTCACCATCAGGATGTGGATCACATGAAAGCCGATCACGATAATCACAGGAAAATGGCCGAGTGTTTGGGAATCGATGACGACCAGCCGTACATCTACGATGGAGTCGCAGGTAAATATGTATATCAGTATGTCGTGTCTCTTTCTTTCCAGTCAGACTCAGTACTCCGGCAGTAGCATTTTTGCACCTTTGAAAGTCTTTAGAGACTGGCCTGGTTAGCTGGTCACAACTGTCCTTCAGCAAAGTGACACACCCTCCCCCCAATTACTGTATTATAGACTATTCTGCCCCTTTTTGGGTGAAAACGTTCGCTCTCTTTTGAATGGCAGTATATACAAATGATGAGGTCTTCGCCGATCCAATCAAAACATTAAGAAGAACGCGCATTTTGTTATCTATTTAGAGCTTAAATATGACAGTCAGTCAGGCAGACATTTACACAATGTCATTGCAGATAGATGATCGGCATTAATAGGCTATAATTCTTTCACACACACATACGGGTATTGGGCCGAGGGCGACACCGTACTTCCGGTATCTGCCGTTTTACGCAAGGTGCAAGCAGGCCGAGGGTTTAGCCGTACACCGTCTAGGTGTTGCTAAGCTTCCTGTACTGAATATCATAGTCTATTGCCTTAATCAATATCTAGTCAACTCTAAAATACCACACATATGCAATGGCATGATAATATTATTGTGACAAGTGGGGTATTCACCTGGTGTTTCCAGAAGATAGACGTAGATGCAGTCAAAATCGATGCAGTCTGTAAGGGCAATCGGACGACCCACACAGCTCTAGTTCACGCTGGTAACGACCTAGAGCACACCCCTCAAGTCCAGAGATGTAATCCGAAGACATGCAGCGATTTCTTCGGTCGTTAATTCAGAAAAAAAACCTAGTGCGCTCTGCCTGGCTAGTTAGCTAGCTGTTTATATTTGCACCTCCAGGATATTTGCACCTCCAGGAAAATGGTGTATTTATATATATGGCGCGTGTTGCATTGTGGGTAGCTCGTGACGTCACTGTGTGTGAAAGAATATATGGTGCGAGGGCCGAGGGGAGCAATGTATTTTCAATCCAACAGTAAACGAGTTCTCACACTAAAACTGGGATTTCCATGGCTTCATATTTTAATATCAGCATTTGGAATGATAACCTCGACATTTAACGAGACAACTTCTCACTTTGACGATTGCCGTTAGCCTCACTAGCATCATGTAACCTTGATGAAGTTTTTCCCTGTTAATGTTGATAGTCCTCGCTTTGGACGGCCTGTAGCCAAACATCTCTCCTTTTACTGTTCTTATTTTATAAGGGAAAGGGAAGAAAAACATAAGCCTGGATGTTTTGTGTTGCTTAGCTTTCACAGCAGCTTTGAGACATGATAACACACATACAGGGCTGGATAAAAAACGATACCTTTCCGCTTGCTGCTGATTCACTGTTTTCACCGGAAAGGGGGCGGGGCCGGCGTTTTGCCGTGCTGTGACAGCTATGACGTGGCCTTGCTCTCATCTATAGTGGAGTGGCAGCCAGTAGTAACAAACATTATGAAATACATATATTGTTAAGTGTATCACAAACGTGGCAGCCTGTAATGAAACCCTTTAAAAACACGATACTCTCTTATTTGTCGTTGTTATTTTTAGAAGGGATTGGCACCCAAAGGTCCCATTACCGCCATCTACTGGATATAAACTAATAGTGCATTCTAAAAAAAACTCCAACAATAATAAATCCACTCACATCAACTAAATTGACATCGCCAAATGTGTCCTTAATCAAACCCGCGACTTCAGGCCTGTCCGACAGAACTCCACATTTCTCCTTGCTCCCAGTTATTTGTATTACAGCCAGCTATTACATTAAAAAAACACGTTGAGCTGACTTTGTCCGCTTTGCAGTCTGAATGACGGAGTTTGCGAGTGCTTTTATTTTGAAATCACTTCCGAGAGTCTCGCCCCGCCCCTCGCTCCAATCACCATTAGTAAGGTAAAAAGCCAAAAGGCCTCTCAAACGCTCTTCCGTTTACGTGTTTAATAAAGAAAAACAATTGGACGGTAGATACACGGATTCTATTATTTATGCCAAGAACTGTTATTTACAGAAACTCAACATTTCTAATCTGTGTGACACAAATATGCACGATTGTTTTGGGCTCCCCCTATTTATCTCAAAGTCGGCCTTCAGGTTTGCTCCCCCCCCCCCCCCCCCCCCATTTCAAACAGTGACCATAACGGTGCAGCTGATAGAAAAGGACTTGTAGTTTTTGAAGATATTACTGATTTTCTTTGAATATAAGAATGTAAATACTGAGTTGAGAGAATAGTCAGGGGTTTTGGGTGATGGGAGACACATCTCTGGAATCACAATTTCAATAGCTTACCATTAAATGACGGATAAACCTTTCTGTCTGTGATAGAAATATAGAATATAAAATATCAAGAAGATACTGTTGTGATCTCTACAATAAAACAGTTTAGTGCAGGACGTCCAAAGATATTAACAGGAGGATGCAAAACAGACAAACTTTATTTAAACATTAAAGATTACTTTAAGTTAAGGTCTTCTTTTGAATAAGAAAAAAACGTTGGGGTTATCCACAGATAAATACGAAGTCTGACAAAGTACTTAACGTCCAATATATTGCATAGTTTATTTTGGCACTTGACAATCACCTTCCCTGAATCTGACTCAGGTGTAACTAAAGTCTGATTTAAGGGTTGTTTATATTTCACATTAATCACAATCTGCAAAGTAACTCAAATAAATGTAGTGGAGTAAAAATACCAGGCTAACCTCTGAACTGTAGTGGAGTAGAACAAAGTAGTACATGCTGCTGTAACAAAAACATTTCCCAACTTGGGATCAATAAAGTATCTTATCTTAAGATGATCGATGGATGCTGCCATATTTGCAAAATGTGCCTCTGAACCTTGACAAGTGCATGTTTGAGTCTTATCAATTAACAACAGGAGGGGTCTCAGACATAAGACCAGCTGTTTATGCCACATGCCACCTTAGCTGGCATGTGGGTATATTAATTCATCCATTTATTATTTATATGTTTTAATTTGATAACACCACTGTGTTTCCTATCCCCTAAACCTCCAGGGTGTTCACAGTTTAATACGGGCAACTTCTGATTGTGGGAAATACGAAAACGTCGTGAGGGTTGACGCTAACTTTACATGGACGCTGTCGTCAATAGAAATGAATAGGGGGAAAGACGTAGTATACACGTTATCCTGGCGAGACCTCAAATCATCTTCGTAATATCTATCAAACTATAGATCCTTCACATCCACTGGACGTAGATTCTGAAAGTACAATATAACATCATGCTGGTTTTCCTCTTCCTGTTCGGCCTGGCTCCGGTTGCTTTGTATTCTTCAGATGCCCCTCAAATGAAGCGACAGCAAACCAACTGTCCCCTCCTTCTGGTTCTCCTTCGACGGCCGCTGCTACAAGTACATCGGCACACATACGACCTGGGCTCATGCAGAGCTCTACTGTGTGTCCCAGGGAGGCAACCTGGTGTCTATCCACAGTCAAGGGGAAGAGGATTTTGTCAAAACCCTGATCAAAAGCTCTGACCCTGCTGAGGGACCAACATGGATCGGACTCAGTGACGTCCACGAACAAAGAAGATGGATGTGGTCTGATGGGTCTGCAGCCAACTTTTTCTTTTGGAATCAAGGAGAACCAAACAACAAAGGAGGTGAACACTGTGTGCACACCAACTGGTCAGGGCCAAAGAAGTGGAATGATAAGAAGTGTTCAGATACTTTCCCCTCAGTTTGTGCATCTCGCAGCTGAGATGCTACGTGTTCACCTGTTTTGTTAACTTGATAACAATAAAGACACAGATGTGAACTTGTATATGTGTTTGTCTAACCTTTACGCTCATGAATGTTACATATCCACACTCGTCGCTCCAGGGGTTAATCAGAGGAATTATTTCTACACCTTTTTTTAAATACATTTAGTAAATAATATTGAGGATGCATTTATATTACATTTTGATCCACAGATTTGAGCCGTTGCTTATTATTCCTGGTGTTCTACTTATTTGTTTGAACCACACACAGTTCATTCAATGATCACATGATGTGGTATTTACGGCAGCTGGTGTGTGGATGACCAACGGGCTGAACCTGCTGACCCTATAGTCCTGCTTTGGTTACTGTTTGTGTTATTTTGTTCAATAAACTTGAACTTTTGCACAGATTTGATTTAGGAACGCTTCAAAGTGAAGAGCCTTAGCCACATGATTTATTGGGAAAAGTACCATCACCCTTTTTCTGGTTGACAGGGACAACCTGATCTCACCAGAATGCGTGACTCCACCACGACTCCTTAACACCGCGTTGCGTGGTGGAGTCACGAACTTTGCTACCTTTACGTGTCTGCAGCACGTGGTGGAGTCACGCATTCTGGTGAGATCAGGTTGGACAGGGACACTATCATGTTTCTCTTTCACATGGACGTAAACGTACAAACCTAAAATGTACAGCACTATTTTCTGATAAACAAGACATTCATCCTCTCTGTTGGAAGGAAGGCTAACGAAAGGAGGGAGGGCTTGAGCTATCAATCCAATCCAACTTTATTTATAAAGCATTTTAAAACCTCCAGACAGAGAGACACATAAAATATACAATCACACAGCTCAGCTCACAAACCATAACAATAAGTATAAAAACACCTGCGTCTCAGATTTCAATGCGATTCATATCAAATGAATGATTCTTGGTTTTCGTTGGGAAACAATCTAAATGATTCAAACATAAACCTTTGGTTGATCATCATTTTCAGAAAAAAGTCAAACTTCTTGGGTTTTTCCTTTGTGTGTTATTTGATTGAAGAGCTACTGGAAAATAACCAGTGAAACCAAAGTGCCCACAATCCTTCTGTGCATTGCTGACTAATGCAAACAGGGTGTGGTCACCCTGGACGACAGTATTCAAATGTAAACTCCCCAAATAACCCAAAACTAGAGTATCAGCTTCAGTTCAAAGGTCATGGAGAGGAAGGAGGGAAGGAGATTGTTACGGCTGCTGCCTTCCGGGTCGTCTTTATTGTGTTAATCTATGTTGTTTGTAAATGAGCAGTGCGATTGCCCTGACGTCATTGGCTGCCACCTCCTGGTCCGCCCCCTGAGGATTGTGATTGGAGCATGCCGGGCCCGACGCACTCCAATCGCAGAGCACAGCCGGTGTGCACCTGCTGGAGATGACTTCAAAGCCTGGGCACAATCATCACTCTGGAGGCTCTGTATGTGAACAGACGCCTCTCGCTACTTGATATTCTTGTGATGGTTTAGTGATTTCTGTGTAAAAGCTAAATTGTTTAGATATTGCAGTTAGATATTGCAGTGTAATTGTGTAACTAGGATCCAGGGTAGCTTAGCGGTTAGCACCTGTTGATTAGTAGCAGCTGTGTTTTCTACAGCCTTTTCAGTTACGGGTACCACTTTTAAAGTGAGGTTCTGTTTAGTTCCTTATTTAGTGTACTAGTGTTTATTCCCCTGTATGCAATTAGACTCAGTTGTTAGAGTCCTCCCTTCGTTTGGTTATTTGTCAACCTGTGCCCTGTTGGCCCTTTTGTTTGTTCCAGGCTGCATGCCTGCCACTTTGTTCACACTTGCTATTTAAAATAAACCATTTATAATTATACCAATTTCAACTGGTGTGTGTTGCATTTCCTCATCCCTAGCGGGGACATAACAGAGATATAAATAGTGTATATGGTCAGTTGGCAGCATTTATATAGCACTGTTCCACTCTCGTGAGCCCTCAAATGACTCTGACATAAGTCCAGCTGAACAGCAGGATACACACGTTCATATGGTGCATGCACCTGCTAAGGGAGAACAAGGTTCACACTGACCGCCATGCAATCAGGAGCAAGTTAGGGTTCATTCTCTTCGTCTCTTGGAGTTCAGGAGAGCCCAACAATGATGGAAATGAAGACGTCCACACCAACTACGGTTTGGATCACACATGGAATGATTTCCATTATTATTCTTATCACTCACTTTGTGCATCTGGCTTGGCTTGTGTTTAGCAACGGAGATGTGACATCTTATTGAACCAGGTCACTGCTCACCTGTTACTCTGTTAACGTGCCTTTGGCCACAAGACACAGATGGACACTCACTGTGTATGAAAGTCCTGTTTGTGATATATGCAGCATAATGGTTCCCTTTGTTAACAAGGAAACAATGCATTCTTCAGACACTTTGACAGCACATCTCCCCTTTGAAGCCAGTCTCCTGAACTGTTGCTGAGCAGCAGACAGTGCAGCCTCTAAGTTAGAGAAAAGTGCTGAATGTTTCAAATGTAGCTTAGTAGCCATTTAGCATCAGGGTACAAGGCTTTGCTGGAGTGACATTAAGAAAGTCAAAAGAGTCAGTCTGGAGTGCAGAATGTTTGAACATGAGGCATCATTTCTCTTTATTCTGAGAGTCTCATTTGAAAGATGCTTTCTGTTAAACCTATTCAGCAATTGTTGCTCAGCAAGATCTCCTAAATCAGAGCTGTGGTCTGTTCCTATTCAGGGCCATAGAAAGGCCTTGTGGCAGTCGTTTGACTATTACCCTGTACATTATGCCCACACATCAAAACACATCTCTGCTCACTGTTATCAGAGCATTCGTGTTGTACCATCTTCCTGATTGTATTGTATAGAGTTTATATTTGTGTTCCTGTGCCATGTTTAGAGCTTTAGTAAAGTGCATGTGCGTTTTCAGAAGGAAATACTTGTGTGCTTTGGAGCTACATGCTATAATGTCAAAGTACAACAAGAAATACACAGTTTCTTGTTGACATTCAGACCTTTAAATATACGGTCTACGATTTAGACCCAGCGATGAACTCAGCTCCTCCTCTTTCTCCTCAGGAATGGTGTCTGCATGTCAATAACTGTCAACCTAACTATTGAGAGCGACACACTATCAGCGTCAGGTGAGTTTCACAATCTGACACTTCCTTCAGGCGACTGAAACTGCCAGAAGGAAAGACAAAGGTCCACAGTGCTCACATTTATAAAGCAAGTTAACTCGAGACCATGTAAATAAATGTAAAAAGTACCGTGTGATTTTAAGTCATCCAAAGAGAAGCGATGGAGCATTGTGAGCCTGTTAGCTGACGGATCATTCAAAGGTGTTATTGTCATATGCACATAGCTATGAGAGAAGTGGAGGAATGGCATTCTTCTGACCTGAGCTCCTTGCTGAGAATCTTGAATCTTTGATGTATCCCAGGTACAGCCTCAGTTTCCTGCAGAGCTCTGTATCTCAGCTGTGTAATCACGTATTCTCCTGTCTGTTTTCAGTGGGGAACATCCTCTCCTCCACCTTCCACCTGCTACCGGGCTGCGATGGATCATGGATGTCTGGTCCTCAGCATCAACACCACGGCCAAACACATGGACACGGTGCTCAAGCTGCTGAAGATCAACAGCGCGGTGACAGCGGAGGAGGTCAACCTGCACAGCGTCTATCTGTTAGGTAGGAAGCATGACAGGAACTAATGATGTATTATTATTTAACCTCTACCTAACCCTTGTCGTGGATCAGATGTAACACTCACAACATTAAAGAATAAGACAAAGAGAAATAAATAAAACACAGACACAGAGATGGTTGGAGTCAATTATTATATTGCTGTACAGCACTATAGAGACACATGAGCTTTCATCAAGCAGTCTATAGTGTAATGTCCCTTTAGACCAAGAGAATCTCACAGCGTATATACACAGATAGATAGATAGATAGATAGATAGATAGATAGATAGATAGATAGATAGATAGATAGATAGATAGATAGATAGAAGATGATAGATAGATAGATAGATAGATAGATGGATGGCGA